CTTTGTTCCTCAGGAAATCGGAAACTGTTTGCTTGGAAATGGCGAACTCGTTGCTCACGTCAGCCTGCGATCGGGCACTCTTCACTAGCTTAATAATGGCGGCTTTCTTCTCCATCGTTGACCGACGGTACTGTTATCCGCGCTTCGATGCCATCGGCGAGGACAACGAAGGCGGAGTGGGGGCCATCGCAGGCAAGCGAAATCCTCTCGATGTGAACAAAGGAGTTTGCTGACGAGCGTCGAAGCTTCTAGGCTTAGCGTTGCAAAGCACACTTCACACGATCGCACAACCACGCACTAGGCTAGCCGAACACCATGTGGGCTGCGTAAACAAAACGGCGCGACGGCAGACGACAGTGCCTCGGGTACTCCGAAGGTGGCGCTGGTAAACATTCAAGATAGCCATCGTGGCCAGACCAAATCGGTATGTGACGGTTAGTTCTTGTTCGAAGTGGTGAAACGCTTCGCGAAAGCGCTGAGCGGGAAGCCAGAGTGAAAGCACGAGCAGAAGTGCTAAAGCGAAAAGAACTTTATTGGCGCCAAAAGATTTCCGGGTGGATAGTTTCGATTGTCAGCAAAGCACCCTTGCACGATAAACATGGCCAGTGTTAGGAATCTCGGAGGCCGTGTGTGTTTCTCCGCTAACGATCAAAGAGTCCAAGCAACAGATGCCGCCACAGTAGACCGGCGCGCTAATCTATGCGATCGTAATCGCGTGTGACGCAGTTGTGGTGGTTTCCACTGGAGGTCAGTGGTGGTTTCCGACCTTCTGTTGCGTCAAAAAGTCCGGAAAATTGGACTCCGGTGGGTGCGAGCGTCAGAAATTTCAGACTTCCTTATACATTAATTCTATGGGGCTCGTGGCGGTGCCACGAAGATGTCCGAATAATCGAGCATGTCCGAAAATTCGGGTGTCCGGAAAATCGGCAGTTGACTGTACTTTCACTGAACAGCTGTAAAAAAGGTGAATTCGTAGGGTTCAAGTTATTGCTCGTGCCAACTTGCACAACAAAGCCAGTTTTAATACTTTTAAGCTTCTCGATAAACATGTGTTCTGTACCCGAACTGCACGCTTGACACTGAGCTTCTGTGGATTCGGACTGGCATGTGCTTTCGTCAGCTTTGGTACTGCACGAAGTCCTGCCTGCTGTGTCTCATACTCCAGCAGAGCGCAGAAATGGAAATGAAATACTTCTTGGTCACCAGGCAGCTACCAGGAGCAAAATAGTCTGTACAAAACAGTTTAGTTTGCAACATGAACATGAAGGCAAAGTTGCTTACCAGAAATTTTCCGACTTTCAAAAGGTTGTTTCGGATGCGTTTGAAAAATGAGGAGGGTCAATCACCGTGTGCACTACTCGTGACAGATCACAGGGGGTGTGGAAATGAAGTGCTGAGGCTGTTGATGTCCCCGCTGATACCTGAACAAAATTGCGATGTTACGATGAGTATTGTCAAAAACCATGAGTTATGCATGACATACACTAATGTGACTGAGGTGCTTAAAATTACTTACCCAAGGGGCGCAAAGTTGATCTATTATACGTGGAATTGTCACATGTGACAGCATCTACTAATGCACTAGCATTGAAAAGGTGCGCTATGCATTGTAGTAACAGCTTTGCTACGATTTGCCCTGGGGCAGCACCCGAAGCACAAATGTGCCAACAGTTTGCGACCATCCACCGAGGAAAAGCCGAAACAAGAAAACCAGTACATGGTCTGTCTTTAAATTGATCTGACGGTCTTGTATGCTCGCTGAAGTCGACTTTGCCAAGTAGGGCCATGTCTGATTCACGTATGTGGACACTCTTTCTCACACTCATTTCATCAAACATCAGAACTTCTGTGAATATGAAAATGAAAAAAAAAAAAATATTGAAAACTTGTTTCACAATATTCTCACGGTGGAAACTAGTCCACAAATTATATGCATCAAATTTTATCATGCTCTCATAGCTTCAAACCATACCTTTACCTATTCCTTGAAGTTTTTGTTTCAATATACAAAACAGTCTCATCTAAACCAAATTCTGTTTCCAAGTTTCTTATGTAAGTGCACAGTGTGCGAGGGTGTGATAAGGGTAGATAACCAATCTCATGAAGAAATGTGTAAACACACGTTGAATTGATTTTCAGCAGCAAGCAGTCGTACAAGCCATTCCTTTTTGTACCTGATAGTGGAATTCAAATACTTCAATTACTGGTATAGACATTTGCATACGAAACATGCAATTAGCATGAAGCACAGATAACATAAGGCAATGCTCAAATGCACATCCTCAAGTCATGCTGTTTTGTCAAGAAGACGCACTCTACTGTCCTTTTTACAACTCACTGCACAGCTTTCGACGTCCTTGCATTAGCTTTCATGACACATTGGTCAAGGATCAGCTTCTTGCGGTCAGAGATCTTTTTAAACGTTCCCTTGAAGTGGCTGCTCTTTTTTTCGCGCAGCGTTGCTTTTGCCAGCTTCATCGGGCAGTCTTAAGTCATTGCTGTACACGGCAGAGCTGTGCATTAACTTTCTGCAGTTCCGAAGCGCCGCACACAACCTCTTGTTTGACAAGCTTCGTCTTCAGCCTTGTTTGCTGTTGGCACACTTTCTGCACAACCAGAGGGAAAACAGAAAGGTTTAGGAAATCCATCAAGTTTGTTCAACTTGCGTTATAATTAGCGTGCCGAAGAACACAGAAGAGCCAGCCGCGTAAAACTGCAATATTTACCGTTATTTACTGCATCCAATTCATTGGAGACGTCCACGGAGATCCTCTGCGCAACATTTTCCCCACTGGAATCCTCCGAACACTCCTGACGACGCTTGACCGGATGCCTGTGTGGCAAGTGCTGAGGTGCCGGCTTTTTTTTAGACAAGTAAGCCGGGAGACCTTTGAATATTCGAGGTATAGCGCCGGCCCTCAGCTTCGCTCTTTCGCGCAGCAACCTAACAACGGTGCCTTGTTTAACGCTTTCGTCATTGCGGACAATGTCCTCCTTAAAGAAATGTTTTTCGCATACTCGAACATTCAGTGAACTGAACGAGATTGCGCCCGTTTCTTTATGTGGTATCGCCCGCTTCCACTGCTCACGGCTTTCGGGGTCGCTGGAGAACACAAACAGCGATACTTTTTCAGCGGTTCCTCTATAGCCGGAGTGACAGTTCGGCACACAGCATGTCTTTGGCATCGTTCGTGAAGCTGCCGCTAGCTGTTTGTCGCATACGAAAATGGTCACAGGCACACACAGCACCGCACACACACGATAAAACAATCCAAACAAAGCGAACACAGCACGCTTTTGCCGCTCTAGCCTCGACGAGCGCGTTGTTCGCAGGAGCGACCGGGCGGCACGCAGGACGTCTTCTGCATCGTTCGTCACGCTGCCACCAACTATTTGTTACGTTTGAATACGATAAGACGCATAGAAAGCACCGCACACACGCCGATACAACACGATTCACAAAAACCACACCACACCGGGATGCCGTCGCCTCACTGACTGCTTCGGCGAGTGCCGCAGGTGCCCCCTTAGCACTGGTGGCGCCGCCCCGCCTTCAAAGCTGGCAACACACAAAGCTCTCCCATAGAGTGACAGAAAAGATTCGTGACCAGTATAAAGTATCGAGGGACTATGACGAAACTAACTCGAGCCAGCGTGGCTGGCGTCGCGGAGCAGTGGAGACGGGCGAAGGGGTTCTGATCACGAGAGGAAAGCAGATTTGCGAGAGAAGGGCGAGGAGTTGCGATAAAGTGAAGAGAGGGGAGGACACGGCGGGAGGGTGACCTTGAAAACCAAAACACGCGGGAAGGAGGTAGGTCGGGTAGTTAGCATGAAAGGTCCGCTGAAACGCGCATTCGCGCGTAGAAAAACTTGAAAGAGTGCCTCCGCGAGCAGAAGTCAAAGCGCGGCTAGGGTGCGATTCTAGCCACCCTAGCACGGCCGCCTAGATCTGCACACGCGGCAGGTGTTCAAAGAATCGGTAGTCGTAGTTAGAAAAACGTTTTGTTGTGCCAGCATGTTTGCGTGACCTTACCGACTTAGATATTTCGTGATTCGTTTCGCGCAAATTAACTGCCGTTTTCATGATTCCGCATGCGTGCGGAGGGCATGCTGAGCCGAGTGCGAAGTGAGCGAGAATAGGTTCTAAACACAAAACGAATAGCAAATTATCAGAGTCCGCGGGGTAGCGTACGCGCGTGCACTAGACGCAGACGATCAGATACAGTCGCCAGCAACAATGTTGACAAATGGTCCGGTCACTCCAGGTTGGTGACGCCAATGACAGTGCTAGCGATCAAAAACGGAGGTGATGGCCGACTGGTCTTTGAAAGGTCAGTGGCAGTGTGAAGACACGTGCCTCCCTGGCGATGCGGGGGGCTCAGAGTAGCTAGGGACAAAGCATGGAAGGGTGCGTAACAAAAAGCAGTCGGGGAGAGCGGCAACTAGGGGGCCGCGGAGGCAGGGTCGGCGTATGTATGAGCGCCTCGCCGATGCTTGATCGGTGGTCGAAAGTGGTTTCCCGGGAAGTCGACAGACCACTGACTCCGTTCGCTGTAACCGATCGGTGGTGCTCGGAGGCGTTCGATGTAAGTGCGATTTTGTGCCATTGAACCGATGTATATTTTCACGGTCACACAGATATTGTTTGTTTTAAGCAAAAGGTCGTTCTAAGTAGGGCCGTTATATGTGGGCTCGACTGTATAACAGTGCTTTATAACAGACCTTTATAACAAATTTTTGAATATATACTTAGTTTAGTATGATGGGACCAGTTGGCCAACGTTTAGTTTGTTCCTGGGATATTTCTCCTGGTTGGTGCATTTGTTCCCGATTGTAATTTTCAGTTAGCTTCTATGTGTTGATGCAGTTTTATGTCTGAAATCAGTAAACGTTTGAACTTCTCTAACGTTCGACTTTGGTCGATTTCCTCTTGGGACGTGTTTTCCATCGTGGGTGGGATGTTTTAATTTTTGCGTTCGCATATTTCTTGCTTTGTCCAGGGTGAACGCAGAGAGGTCAGAGTACGTCGGTGCACTTTGCGGCCTCGGTTATGAGCAGAAGGTCGAACCTGCCACTCTACCCGGAGCATGACCTTGAGGTGTCCTTTGACATCAACTTCACCAACGAGGATCTTTTCATGGTGAGTCTTGCGTGCGAATTTGTTAGCATCAGTGCATTCTTGCGATTTGAAGTGATGAAGGTTCAGTCATGTTTATATTAGGGGGATTAACATAAAAAAAAAGGAGTTAGTGTACTAGTTAGCTTGGCTTTCCTGCAATTTTTTTCCTGTCGTTTTTGTGTTATTGTAGTGGAAGACGACGTTTTAGTACCGTATTTATTCAATTGTAACGCGAGGGGTGACTGTTTCATTGCTTGCTGCAAGAAAAGTAAAAGTTTGGTTAAAAAAAAAAAGCAAGAGCATTTTATTTGAGCAAATGCAATATGTTATCAGTACCTGTGCGTGCAAACCCAACCAACGAAATTTGCTGCTCGCTAAATGAATACATTGCTAAATGGTTCTCGAATTATTTTCTCACCTTTCTTGATCAATAATGCTTTTTGCAGGTAAGCTACGCTGACATGACCGGTCTTAGAACACTAAAGCGAGGCACTGAATTGGTTTAGATTCACAAATTGTACTCTGAGAACATTAATGCCATTAAGTTTGCTATCATATGTTCAGCAATCGAAGAGTAAAGCGAGGTCAAAGTTTGATTTTTAAATTTCGTGCCAAAACTTCCGCACCTGACGACACGGGTTTGTAAGTGTATGTTTCATATTTTGGCGCTATTGGCCCCGACAAATTTCCCCAGTGTTGGTAATGGTGAGTTTGTGGCCTTCTCAGGGGATAGTGCACTTCTTTTTCAGCAGTTATGGACTACGTGGGACTCAGTAGATACCGTCAAAACCTTCGTAGTAATGCCATTTGGTGTGGTAACTAGAAGGTGGCGTTGCCACATGCATTTTCTTGTGTAGCTAGTAGTGTTGTTTTCGTTATTCTGAAATAATAATTTACTTGTATGTGAAGGATGGTTGTTCTCTTGAAAGCACCCCTGACAGCAAAAGTTCTGTTTGCGACCTTTTTTACAGTAATTTGTAGCTTTGCGCATGGTAAAGCCGAAATTGAACAGTAAATGCTCTAATCTATCGTATAATTACAGCAAGCATGGTCGATTCTGAATGATTTTGCATCATTTTTCAACGCCCGCCTAAATGCCATTAGAAACTGGCGCCTCGCCATGGGGCAGCGTACGAGGCTACGTGTGCTCAGGCTTAGATGTGGCTGAACACTGACACCCTGTTTTCAAATAGGGGGATCCACGGGCGGTGAAGAATGAAGCGATGTGTGTACTTTGAGCGTGTCCCCTCAGGAAAAAAAAAATGTTATGGACCATCTCCTTCAAGGGAACAATGATGGAATGCGAAGCAGCAGCGGTGCACATGTCGTTAGCCCGTCGACACAGGTGCTCAAAAAATGGCTTGAAGCAGAACTCTGTGGTGTAGCCTTTACTCGAGTAAACGTTTCTTCGAAGTGCAAAGACAGGGGAGGAGGGTCGGGTTTCGTGTATTTTATGGCAGATAAACGAGCCGAAAGAGTGTTTCCACTCGACGTGCGGTTGAAGGTTGCGTGTGGTAGAGAGGGTGAAGCGAGAGAGAAGTGTGTTGCTAGCGGCGGAGGAACAGCACCGCGTGGTTGTGTTGGGAGTAGCCGGCAGCTGCAGTGGGTGAGGAAGAGAATGGTGTCAATGCGCAGCTGAGACTTGATCCATTTGGCATCGTTCCAACAACTTCGGTGGGGGAGGGGTGGCGGCGGTGTGGCGCATTGGCACGATGACACGGATGAACAGCGTTACAAAGGCTAATCAAATAGCTGCTTTGTATCTAAAGGAAAAAGCATTCAAAACATAAGCAGAGAAAACCACCTTGAGAGCAGCTAAAAACCAAGCAAGAGGGCTGGCGAACAATAGTCCTTGCTGGCTATCAGGTAGGGGTTATTGTGCGCACCCTTGCAAAGGATCTCCGATGCCGACAATACTTCCTTTACCTCTGCAATGCCACGAGGGGGCCCTTTTCCACGTCTGACCACAGAAAATGCCGATTTCACCAGATGGGCATGCAACCTTACTTAAAACCAAAATAAAATCTTATAGGTAACAGTCATCACTAATGATAGGTCGGAAATGGCCCCGCATGCAGGACTGTCAAGCAGCACAAGCATCTCGAGTTTCCAAATTTGGTGTCATGGGTCCTTTATTGTCCTACTAAGTATTTGTTTCATTGTGTTGAAACTTCACCAAGGAACCAAATTTTCATGCTTCTCCAAACCTGGCACCAAATGCCCTCTAGAAATTACTCGTATATGAAATATGAGAGAAACCTTATTTCAAATGGCAACTTGCTTGTCCAAGCTCTCTCGCATAACCTCCCCACTCCCAGCCGCCCACCTTAGCTTCCCTCATATTCACTGCAGTCCCTCCCCTTTGCTGGACTAAATTTAGGGAGTGTGGCCGGTAGTCGTTGCGAGTTTTAGACCCCTGCCTTGTGGGCACGTTTGAAACATGCACCGAGGCCTGGTTAGGTTTTGCATTGTACTCTTGAAGGCAAAGCTCTAATGCCCTCCAAGTTTTCTTTTTTCTTGACACGTCTGGTTTATATGGATGGACCGCTTTTCTAAACAAGTGTTTTCCTTCATCATTATGCTTTGTTGTGTGTGTGTGTGTTTTTCATTCTGCACCGCTATTTCGGCATATTTTTGCATCACTATATGATGTCTACTCACCCAATTTTTCATTGTGTTGAACAACGGCAGTGGAGCGAAACCTCATTTCGGAGAGCGCATGGCACAATCGGCTTGTCTTGTCTGGTTTGTCACAGGTCAACAAAGTCCGCATGATGATCAACCTTATTCTGCACTGCGAACCTGGCATGTCCGTCATCAGCTGGGATGGGGCCGGTCTTGCGCTTTGCCAGGACAAAGCACGGCGTTACCTGCTCGAGTGAGTAGACGTCAGTGTGTCTCCTGGCGTGCGTCTGGTGCGTCTACCTTGTCACGTCAGCAGTGGCTTGGTGGCCATAGTTAAAAAGACTTGAGGAGAATTATGAGGGCTCGTTTTCCTGGGAAATTATAGGGAATGTTATATTTTGGTGATTGTGATATAAATGTAAAGAAAAAAAAATGGATGAAGAGATCACTTGCAACTGACAGGGACCGAACCTGCAACCTTCAAATAACGTGTCCAATGCTCGACCAGTTGAGCTATGGTGGCGGTCATCCTCCCGTATTTGGGTATATCTGTGCTTTTGAAAATCTCCAAGTGTTAATCAGTGCTGCAGAACAACAGTACTGAAAAACACGCGTACTAGCCCATATGTGCCCAGTGTCCTGCATGTAGGATGCTGAAACTCTTTAGTGTAACTCTAATGTTTTTTCTGCGGGGCAGAGACAGCTGCGCATTGTACGCATTTTTAATACGATTTCATTTTCCTGCGCCCATCTGCTCCCAAAGCAGGAAAATTGAGAATATTGCAGCAAACTGTGCCAAAACAGCCTCAAAAGCCAGAATTCTAATGGCGCGAGTTTTAGACGGGAAAAAACGCGACAAAGTTCAGGGCTGAAAATGCGCTGCTGCCCCGCGAACTTGCTGCTTCTTGCTAGGATGCGTGTTCTGGCCCTGCGGTCGCGCTGTAAACCGGTTTCGTGGCTGCGGGAAGCGACTCACTAGCTTAACGCTGATGGTTGTTGCAAAGATAAAAGCAACATCCAGGCATACCTGGCCGGAAAAATTGGCACGTGAGCCCCACAGCTAACCAAAGACGCTGCAGGCACTACAGTGGTGGAGAAAACTGTGCAAAAGGCGGCAGCACCTTAAGGAGTGGCCGCGGCACACATGAAGGCTCTCAAGCAGCGAGAGGAGTCAGGTGGCATGCGTAGCGAAGTTGTTCGCTCTCGCATTCTTTGCGTAGCGGGTTCCTCTGGTCGCTGTGGTTTTCGTGCCAACGCTGCTGCCTGTGTTCTGCCGAAATGAGCAAAGGTGAGTATTTTTCATTTGGATAGAACTAATGTTTCCAGCCACATCACATTAGAACATAGCATACACTTAGAAGTGTGTTCTTCGTGTCCTTCTTGTCTGTGTCGTTCTGTTCTCGCGCTATAACTATCATCATAGCATACACATCGTGAGGCATAGCTACGCATTAAACGGTAGTAGGTACTAAGCACATAGTGCGACATTGGATCTCTGGCCTGCGCCGAGAACAAAGTTAATTCAGTGCCGCAGTAAGTACCGACTCGAAGTACGCTCAACAAAACATTTGTTTGCTTACCTGAGTGGTATTTACGGCTCTCTTGAGCGACCATCGATAGCAAGTGGTGGCGACACCAAAGAGCGTTTCGAGATGGAAAATATACAAGATTCGGAATTCACTTGGCATAGCAGTAGAGCATACGGAGGCGTGGCTTTCCGTGATAAGTTTGTGAACGGCTGCAGTTGAAGGACAATCAAACCCATTTCACTGAAACGCGCTACTATATTTCCTGGCTAGTTGTGTGCACACGGCAACTCAGGCTCGTCTAACGCTGTCTTTGCGAACTTGTTGCTGTACATGACGCGCGTGTTAGCTGTGAGTGTACATATCGGTTCTCCCGACACTGTGCGCAGGTGACGCGAGTACCTTGTTTCGTCACCGCGGCGACGACTAGCTTTATGTATCTAACAAGTCTAGCTCCGCTATGTTCTACTGGTTTTGCACGGGTAGACTGCTGCAAACAAAACAGTGTTTGTATCGCTCCTTAATACAGGGAAATTTCGGTATAAGAACTTCAGGGGACCGTGGCATTTTGTTCGTTACTTTGTGGCGATTTCTTCGTTACTTTGAAATGTTTTTGTGAAAGCCCAAAAATTAACCATAAATGCTTATTTTCCACCGACCAAAATGACATTTTACAACGGTTGGTCCTTGAACTCTTTTTTTTTTTTCACGATAAAAAAGAAATGTGCAAGTGAACGCCAAAAAAAATGTATGTTTACTTAAAGAAGTCCGCGTTTTTAAGAAAACGCGTGCAGCACAAATTTTGTAGCATGAAGGCCTCCAGGTCATCCAAATTCTCCTTAGCGAAAACTGCTTCCACTTCTTCGTAGCTAGCTGAGATGAACTCATGGTATAGTAGCACTGCAGCGCGGATGCTAACTTGCTTTGGGGATGCAATAGTAATCACCTAAGAGATGAACTTGACTAACAAGGCCTCCGCAGAGAACATCTATACCCCGTTGGCCTCCTAGAGCGCTTGTAGAAGTGACAAAGATCAGAAAAACTCTAAGCGTCTCTGCTGTCATCGCCTCTTCTGAAGAAAAGAAAGAGCTAAAAAAGAAAATTTCGTTTTCTGTATTTAATTTTCTGCGTTTCGTTTTCTTCTCCCTCGCTGCGCCCATGCTTCCTGCTCCGCAACTCCCACTCTGCCTCGCTGACCTTGCCCTCCCCTGTTGTCCTCGCCTCTGTGCTTGTAAACCTGCAGCGTCGGCGTTTAAACAAGAAGGAAGAAAAGAAAGTCGTCGTTTAGTTTTTTTCTCCTTCTGCACCGTCGCGCCTCTTCCGAGAAGTAAGGCGCCCGTTTGCTGTGCCATCTGCTTGTGTACCGCTCCAGTGGTCGCGACGGATTTCAGATCATGACTTCGTCGTACTGAGGCGTTGTTAATATAAGGCGGAACTAAATCAGCGCTTTTGACACTATTGGTAGTCTGCGCGGGAATCCTTAAAAGTTTGTTAATCTGAAAAATTCGTTGATGTGGGGGTTCAATCTACCAAGATGTCACTGTAAAAGTGTGCTGTATGCTTACAATGGCGCTACGCGTCACGCAGTAATGTAAGTGCAGTAAGGTTTTTTGGCGCCCACATTACATTCTTCAAGGCGGTACTGCACGAGGTTGCGGTGAGGCTCTGTGTGGGACGTTAAGAGTTCATGACACTTGACTGCGTTTTCACCGTTAGTGCTGTCGGCCGCAAATGTTAGCGGAATCTGCAGCACGTGACCGAGCGATGAATAACCTACTGTGATGCGGCCGGTTTGAGGCCATCGGCCTCAGCGTTTAGCGACTGCGCGTTTAACCAACGGCGCGTTGCTGGATCTTATCGCAGAAGCTGCGGCCAATAACACCCGCCGTGTTACGGTGACACAGCAATGCAGTTTTTCGTCACTCAGCCACGCGCTGCAGAACTTTTGCAGCCAATAATACATATGATGCAAGTACATCTTAACATGTTTTATTGTGTTTTATGCATCGCGTATTGTATGACTACGAAAGGATGAAGTAGAGCTGCCATCTGGGTTATGTAATGTGCTTATTTTCACTTATATCAGTATACTAGTTTTTAAGATACTGCGTTAATAGTGGCAAATTAAATTAACGGTTGTCTAGCAATTTCAGCTGCACTAAGTTTGTGAATCATCATCATCATCAGCCTGACTACGTCCACTGCAGGACAAAGGCCTCTCCCATGTTCCGCCAGTTAACCCGGTCCTGTGCTTCCTGCTGCCAGTTTATACCCGCAAACTTCTTAATCTCGTCTGCCCACCTAACCTTCTGTCTCTCCCTAACCCGCTTCCCTTCTCTGGGAATCCAGTTATTTACCCTTAATGACCAGCGGTTATCCTGTCTACGCGCTACATGCCCGGCCCATGTCCATTTCCTCTTCTTTATTTCAACTATGATATCCTTAACCCCCATTTGTCCCCTAATCCACTCTTCTCTCTTCTTGTCTCTTAAGGTTACACCTACCATTTTTCTTTCCATTGCTCGCTGCGTCGTCCTCAATTTAAGCTGAACCCTCTTTGTAAGTCTCCAGGTTTCTGCTCCGTAGCTAAGTACCGGCAAGATACAGCTGTTATATACCTTCCTCTTGAGGGATAGTAGCAATCTACCTGTCATAATTTGAGAGTGCTTGCCGAATGTACTCCACCCCATTCTTATTCTTCTAGTTACTTCAATCTCGTGGTTAGGCTCTGCTGTTGTTACCTGCCCTAAGTAGACAGCCTTTTACAACTTCAAGTGCACTATTACCTATCTCGAAGCGCTGCTCCTTTCCGAGGTTGTTGTACATTACTTTCGTTTTCTGCAGATTATTTTTAAAACCCACCTGCTCTCCTTGTCTAACTCCGTAATCATGAGTTGCAATTCGTCCCCTGAGTTACTCAGCAATGCAATGTCATCGGCGAAGCGCAGGTTACTAAGGTATTCTTCATTAACTCTTATCCCTAACTGTTCCCATTCTAGGTTTCTGAAAACCTCCTGTAAGCACGCGGTAAATAGCATTGGGGAGATTGTGTCCCCCTGCCTTACACCCTTCTTGATTGGTATTCTGTTGCTTTCTTTATGAAGCACTATGGTAGCAGTTGATCCCCTGTAGATTTCTTCCAGAATGTTTATATATAATTCATCTACGCCCTGATTCCGCACTGTCTGCATGACGGCTGATATTTCTACTGAATCAAACGCCTTCTCGTAATCTATGAAGGCTATGTGTAATGGTTGGTTATACTCTGAGCATTTTTCTATTATCTGATTTGAGTAGCCTGTTCGAAATCCTGCTTGTTTGTTTGGTTGATTGAATTCTAATGTTTTCTTTACTCTGTTAGCAATTACCTTTGTAAATAGCTTGTATACTACAGAGAGCAAGCTGATCGGCCTGTAATTCTTCAAGTCCTTGTCATCTCCTTTCTTATATATTAAGATGATGTTAGCGTTCTTCCAGGACTCTGGTACCCTTCCCGTCAGGAGACACCTCATAAACAGGGTGGCTAGTTTTTCTAACACAATCTGTCCTCCATCTTTCAGCAGATCTGATGTTACCTGATCCTCACCAGCAGCTTTGCGTCTTTGCATGCTCTCCAAAGCTTTTCTGACTTCTTCTATCATTACTGGTGGGGTGTCATCTGGGTTATTGCTAGTTGTTATAGTATTAAGGTCATGGTTGTCTCGGCTACTGTACAGATCTCTGTAAA